ATTACATACCCATAATAATTTGCAAAGAACTGATAACTATAGTTGCTGCCAATTACATAATCATCTGAATTAAAAGCAACTTCAAATAAACTTCTTGGCAATGTTCATTTTTGTATTCATACATACATATATATATACACATCTAATAAGTCATATATTTACATACAGATAGAGAGATGCGATGGTTTAGAAGAAGTTAATATATATTGATTAGTATTAATGTAATGAATAAGATTTATATTAATGAATGTATATACAAATGTTTTTTTCATCATGAATAATAAATCCATAATTTCCAATGTTTCAATATGTAGCATTTACATAAAAGTATAGTTTCTAATGTATTTATAATCCAAAAAGTATTTCATTAATAACATGAAAAAAGACAAATTAATGAGTATTCTCATTATTACATAAGATATGCTTTTCTTTTTTTATACATCTTTTATGCTGTTTAAAATGTGTCACTGATTATGCAATTAACAATGTCAAAGATAAGTAATTAGGAGAAAAGCCGCGCATATACAAACGCATTTTAAAAAATTATTCAACTTAAATTTAAGAAATAAAATTCTATTATATAACAGTGATAATACACGATCAGCACGAAATACGACAAATTTGGCGACGAACAATTTGTAAACAAATCTAAACTGCAAGAACGTCATAAAATACTGTCAACTCTGAAATTTCCACAAATATATAATCATTTAAAAAATGACTCAGGCAGTTGTATTACAACAAAACAGCAATAATTAAATCGGCCTCTATTTCCACCGTCCATCACTTCACAGTGAGAGCCATCGCCATATTAAAAGTTGCCCGTGATCCTTCAGTAGCAGAACTTTCGTCTGATTGGTTCAACGTTCGAGGAACACGTCTCCAGCCGGAACATTTTCGGGAAAGTTTTAAAATGTTGCTCGTAGCTGGGATTGTTCCTCCTAGCTAGACGAAACATTTCTCGGAAGCCTGCCGCTTAAAGCCGTGCTACTAGAATCTCGTTTCTCGGAATTGTCCCAGGTAAGCGCGCGCATCTATAGAAGTAATAGGGCCCTAAGTCTGAGTAAGATTTTCAGACTTTTTACCAAGATTAATGAGAAACTCCTATAGGATTCCATCAGGTCTTTCACTCTTTCTGTGTGGTTTTGTCGTAAAATAGCATTAACAGTGAAAATTGGTTTAGTAAATGCTGTAATTGAATATTCCTGAAAAAATTGGTGAATCTGTTAAAGGGGAGTAAAACTGGAAACTGAATTATCTGATTTCCTTTTTGCTGAAAAAGGATTAAAATAGATTCTCTTGCCTTTCAGCCATTTAATATCGCCCTTGAAAAAGTAATAATAGAGTTGAGCATACAAACACAAAAGACTATATTCATAAATTCTGTGCAGTTGTTGGCCTTTGCTGATGACATTGACATCATGGGAAGAACAAAGGCAGGAATAGTTCAGAATTTTTGCGTGCTTGAGTTGGCAGTGAAGAAAAAACTAAGTTCATGACAGATACAAACAGAAGACATAACCTGATACTGCTGAAAATAAATGACAGTATTTTGGAGGAGATCAAACAATTTAAATATTTGGATACAGTTTTAAATAATAATAATGATATAGCTATTAAAATCAAGAACTGAATTAACATGGCTAACATATTCTGTTATGGATTACAAAACCAGTTTAACTCAAGATAATTAAGCAGTAAAATTAAAATACAATTATATAAAACCTTAGTAAGACCGCCTCTAGTGTTGTATGGAAGTGAGTGCTGAACAATGAATAAAGCAGATAAGAATAGCATAATGACATTTGAATGAAAGCTTCTGAGATTAATTTTTGGAGCAGCAAGAGAAAATGAAATGTGGAAGATTATCTCATAAGATTAAATCAGATGATTATTTATCGTAGTTACCTTCACTACTACCAGCTTTCTGCAGCTTCTTTCTTTGAATATAATTAAGAAGTTGCCCATATTTTTCTTCAAGAACTTATTTCACCAGTTTATATTTATTGGCTTAAACAAGTGTTTCTCAATAGAAATGAAGAAATATTCAAATCGACATGGCTGCTGACATCTTTAAGGCAACTACTACTGTATGCATCACCATGTCAATGACTTCCAGATTATTTCATATCTGTTTCTATGTGTATGTAATAAATCTGTAAATAAATTGAGAATTGGGTGATCGTTGCAACAACCTGATGAAAGATTTCCTGCATAGATAAAAAGATGACATTTAGAGATCTTGCTGAAGACTGAACATAATTTATTATTTGACAGCTAATTCAGGATATCATATTCTTGTTCACACATCATCATGACTGTTGTGTACACCCAATGATTTTGAATAGCTTATCATATCTTTAGACACTGGATGAAGTGGAGAGATGAGCAGCATGTCATAATAGTAGCAGGGAGTAAGTATGCATTCATCATCAGCGATAAATAGAGTCAGTTCTTTGTTGAAATTTTGATTTGTGGTGGGGTAAGAGATGTCCACTGTGCTATGCACTACATAAGGTAGTATGATAGATGGTGTATTTTAGATTCATAATGTTATAAACGATTATCAGTTTTAGGTCAGATAGAGGAAGTAGCTGAATTAAAATGAGGTATAAAAGATTCTATAGTCAAGTTAAAATTAGTAGTTTTCTTTCGTATTTTATCTTATATATGTATGCATTTTTTACTCATCATGAGATCATTTTTCCCTTCTGTAAATTTTGACACATTCAATAACTGAATTTCTGTTCATAGCAATAAAGAATGTAGCAAAATTATTTAAAAATAAGAAAAAAAGCAAACTTGAAATTAGAAGAAAATCTAAAAGGGTTAAAATTTTAACATCACACCAGAAGGTTTATAAAGATTATGTTATGTTCTTATCGAGCCAACGGTTTATCTATCTGCTTTTAGACTCCTTCCCGACGTCACTTTTTTATTTTTTATTTTATTTCATTATTAAACAGCACTTTCTTCACACTTATGCTACATAATATTTGACAGCAAAATCACAAAATTTGTAAAAACAACATAGCTTTAGAATTCACAATACATTGTTAAATGTTGCCATAAATTTAATTCAAAAGAGTTATTATTCTAGCTGTGTTAAATTGCTTTCATTGTCCATCTCGTTTTTTTAATAACTAGCCGCCTGAAGTAGTTACTACAAAAAATAAAATATATATACAATGCTTTTAATAAATACAGCTAGTGTCATTTCAAGGGTCTTACTGGTAATTAATAAAGCAGATAAAGAACTGCGTTTACTGCTTTTAGATTGCATAGTTTGTTAATCAGTAACAGGCAGATTGAATTTAGAAGAAATAATAAATATCTTATGTTTCAGCAAATAGCAGTAAACTGGAGAGTGGGAGTTAAATATATTTTATATCAGAAGTGTTAAATGTTACATACATTTTTTTTATTCACTATATTGTTTCTTTAAAAATTGTACACGTTCATAACATTGACAGGCAATATGCTTTTATTTGTTTTGCTATACTTTTTTATATTTACTGTATCATTTTATAAATAATACATAGATAACATTTGATGGCAACATCCTTTTATTTGTGTTGCCATTTTTTTATACTTGTTATATTATTTCTTTTAAAATAATACATTGTGTTACCATTTGGTGGCAACATTTGAAAAATGATATGGGCATAAAGTGAGGTTTGAGATTAATAGTGCTTCTGGTGATAGAAATAAAATTACAATATTGAATCTATATCATAGGAACAGTGTAGTAAAAGAGAACATTTGTTAGCTATTCTATGCAATAAAACGCTTTGGAGTTTCGATGATGAATGGATATATTCAAACAAAAAAGAAAATCTCTGTAATCTTGCTGAAATTTGTTCTCATCTGTATAACACAGTTCATGTGAAATTTCAGAAATGGTATATTCTTTCAAGTTTAGTAAGTTTTTCCGTGGTAAAGAAAAATCCAAAGATAATTGACTTTTTACTAATTCAACAGTGTTATTTATATTTTTCATAAATAACACTATTATAATACTAATCATATTAAATTTTTTCACATGTGTATATTTACCTTCATTTATACACCTAAAATAATTTTTTTGGTAATATGTGCAAATGTATATACCATATGTATATTTTAATTACTCCCCTTGAAAATTTGCTTTTGTATCTCTGAATTTAGTTGGATTTTAAAACTGAATTTCCATTCCTAATAGTAATAAAAGTAAAAAATTAATATATGTATTCAGTGATAAAAAAAACTAAATCTACATCATCATCAACACAATGTAACATACTGTAAATTTATAGAAATTCTGTCGCACTTGCTAAATTTTTAGGCAAAGTCATTACTTTGCATTTTATTGTAGAAATAATAAATAAGTTTAACTAATGTTAGTAAATTTATCCCATTTAGCAGACTTAAGGTGCGTCATTGTTTTTCTTCCACTATTCTAGAAAAAACATGCTTTTTCCAGAAGAAACCAAATTCTGATTTGAACTTTTCTGAATTAAATTATAACTTTTTAACACCTTTGAATTCATCTATTTGGACTGATTTTCTTAAAATCTGTAGAATATCTTTTATGTAAATAAGTAGCTATGATTTATTATGAGATGTCTCGTCTTGTGTTTGTATAACTAAGGTTTTACTTTTTCAAATCAGTACTGCAGTTATGAGCTGTACTGATTTGAAAAGGTGAATTGCTTTGAACTAATTGCTTTGAAGTTCATGATCAGTGTTTCAAGCAAATATGCTTGATTTTACAAGCTGTAATTTTTATGAAATAAATTACACATTTTGTAATTATAAATTAGCAGTACTTATCTTAATTTATCTTCTGATTCCTGTATACCTTGAATTGGGCTTAAAGTCTGGAAATAGACATTAGTTTGTAACTCTTATGATATTATAAAATAATTTTTATATTTTGGGAAGGGAGGAAAAGACTATGCATTATGCAGATATTACGTGCTGTATTTGAATAGTTCAAATTTTGTTCTGTTGTATTTCAGGTACAGTATTATAATTCTTTTAAGACACCACTAGTAGCCAAAGGAACTATTCCTCCTAATATAGCTGAATTCTCAACTAAAGCCACAAAATATGAAAAGGTAAATGAGATTTTTTTCCCCCTCCTTAATTCCCTAACATAAGAATTGATTTTCATATTCTCTATATTTTATGTAGTTACTGTATACCAAAAGAAGCATTTAAATTTATCCCAGGGCATTTATTATCTACACGCTAATTCACAGAAAAAAATGCAATACCCTAAAATTTTATTGCAACACCATGTAAAATTTGGGTGCTTTGAGAAACATCATTAACCCTAAAGTGTTTTTTTGTTTCCTGGTTTGGCAATTATGTTATTTGCAGTGTCTTGCATTTCTTTTTTACCAGTGATGCCAATTAAAGTGTGATAAAAGAGATGTTAATTTCTTTAACTAACTTTTAAGTCTCAAGGTAAGTGTATTTTTCTGTTGTTTTCTATGTCAGGATAAATAAATATTTTTTAATTTTGCCTGAACCTTGGATATTATTTTTGTGAAACTGATGAATTTATTGAAAGTTTAATCATAAAACTGTGAACAGCTATTTTTGGTCTTTGCAAGTATTGTTACAGGATATCAATACAATTTACAACTGCTTGTTGAATTTGAAGGCAACAAATATTTTAAAAAGAAAAATTACTGAGCAGGTTAAGGTTTGAGTACCAGAACAAATATCACAGCATGTCCAATATCATTCAGTAGCAGATTCATAATTCATAGGCAGCATCATTCTGGGGGATGTATTGAGAGTGCTTAAATATCAGGATTAAATAGGACTAACTCATTCCTTTGTGCAACTTCTCGCCGACGTGATCCTCGTAGAGGGATAACAGGAAGTAGTCTAATGTCACTTTGTTGTACTTACTCTGACTTTGCCTGTTTAAAACTAGGAATGTGGACATCCCAAATTAATTACAATAATTTAAATACAAATCTTACTTTTTCTGTTTTGCATCATAGAAAAATCTAATAAATAAAAGAGACTAGGTTGTCATTATTTATTCTCAAGTTATGTCCCTCATGGCAAGCTTTTGTATATTTCTTTTCAGTTTAAATTAAAAGTAAGTTACTTAGTATTTCAATATATTAAAATTAGTTGAATAAATGCCAGTCTGAAAGTTTTAATATTTAGCTGTCTGTTTGAATTCCAAATTGTAACCAACAAAAATCTCTTGCACATACCAACTTCTAGATTTCAAACAAAATATAAGTATAAATTTGATATTTTTCTTCATGTCACTTTTTTAAAGTATAAATTGAAATAAAAACAGAAAAGCTAAAATTACTGATTGGTACTATAATGATAATATAAAATTTTGCTTTACCTATTCTTACAGTGTTTTAACGATGATTATTAAGATCATAGCATAGTGAATAGTTTTTGAGATAAATAAGCATTGTGTGTCAGTTTCACTGAATGCAGCTTTTTTTCAGATATTTCAAAGTAGTAATGATATCACATTGTCTTATGATAGCTTGTGCGCGAAGTAAGGGCAAATAACCGAAGTCAGAAGTAGTCTATGCATATTCTTTGACTGATTAAGTTTCAAAGCTGCATGTAGAATGCAAGGTTTCTTTTTACTTGATTACACGTGACAATGCATATGAGGGAGCTACCTAAAGGATGAAGTGCCTTCATGGAGGGCTTTCTAATAAACTCTGGCTTATTCACATAAGCAGATTCAGGGTTACTTTTGCAATAAATTGTAATTAGGTGGTAAAATTGAAAGAACAAATGTGACGATTGGAATAAAAGGATATTATTTTGATATTATTTCATTCATAATAGGATATAAGTTGTATTCATATATATAGTATTCATAATAGGATATTGATGATAGGATATGAGTTGAATAGACTCAACGGTTTAGTTCTTTGTGTATAACTCGTCTTTTAATACTTATCATCCTTCAGTATTGATTTTTAAGCAAAAATCTATATATGGTTCTTTTTGTTGTAGTTTTTAAAATATTATTTTAAATCTATAAATAGTTTTGAATTTATTACAAGATTGTGTTTAGAATGGGGAAGCCATAGCATTACAATCTGTGCATGTCCGTCTGTTTTTTTTTTTTTTTTTTTTGTGTGTGTGTGGTGTGTGTGTGTGTGTGTGTGTGTGTGTGTGAGTGAGTGATCTCTTCTGGAACGGCAGGGAACTAATTTTTACACTTGTTTTTTCGAGTGGCGACAGTCTTGCACGCTGGAGATAAAAATCTGCTTTATTTCGAAAAGTGTTGCCACTGCTTGCTTTCAAATTGCAAAGTTTGTTAATAAAACCTGTTTAAGTTTTCAAAATATGAAATAAAATTGGCATTGCCAAACTTTAAACATATTATTATTATATAGTCATTATGATGTTGCAGAAAGCATGGGATTGCATGTGACGTCATATGTCAAAAAATTTTCATTAATATCAGCATTTTAAATAAATAGCTGCTGTTAGCAACATTTTTGTTTCAGGTTTGGTATGATATATTAATGCCATGTTAATTCTTTTATTGATAAAATGTTGTTATATTACATTAAATTTAGATCATGACATCATTAACCTGAAGTGTCAAAATTTTTTTTGTTTCCTGGTTTGGCAATAAAAGAATTATTTATTAAATGGTTGTTGCTTGGAAACAATGAACTGATTTCATTTATACTGAAAAGTTTTCATATATTTGTTTTTCAGGGGTAAATAGAACTTATAAATTTTGGTTTGGCTGCAGCCTGGTCATATGGCAGGCTTGCTCGCTAGTTTTTTTTTTTTTTTTTTTTTTTTTTCTTTCTTAATTCCTCTAAGTGTTTAAAATATATGTACTTGAGGGCCTCTGTGCCGGAGTTCAACTGTATGAACTATCAAAATGAACGTGCAAGTTTCAAGTCGTATTTAAATTTGTTACATTTAATTATAATTCATTAATTTGATTGTGTCTGAAAATACCCTAATGCTAGCAGTTATGTTATATAAAGTTAAATATATTTTTACCTTCTATAAAAGTGATTAGGAGGTTTAACAATTATTTATGGAAATTATTTATTTTATGAATTGAAAAACTGGTCTATAGAGCTAAGCATCTATAATCCACAGTTATTGCAACTGATAGCAGATCTGTACCAAAGATGGAACAAGTGAGGTACTTTCTTTTGGTAAAGAATGAAAAGGCTTCATTATTAAAATGTAATAAATGTTAACATAGATATGATAAATATAAAACTAAAAAGTTCTATCTGGGGATACATAATGTATATCATGAATATCTTTCATTAATTAAAATAATACTGCAAAATTTCATAAATATAATCAATTGGATGTATTATAAATTAAATATTATCCATTGCATATGTTATTAACTACAGATTTAAAATTAAGGTGTGTGTTTGTTGTTCATTAATTGCTCAGATTGAGCAGTTCCAAAGTGATTAAATTTGAAAAATGAGCTAAAGATCGTGTGTTCAATGGCAGCATTGAGGGATAACTATTTACAGTGTGGTGTGGGCAATAAAGATCTCATACTTTGTTTCTTGGCAGCATTTAACCAAATCATATGAACGATAAATGCACGATAGTGTAAGGATTTGAAAAGTTTTGGAAAGATTCTGCTAAAAGGGTTTAACAAAGGTTTTATAAAGGGTTTAATAGGGGATGCAATTGTAGGATTTCTTTTAGATGTTAAAATCCTGTTGGTGTGACTTTTTGAAAATTTTTCAGTTTTGTATTATGAATGTAAATTATGTTATGGTTTGAATATTAGAACTGCTGTAAAAATAGAATGTGATTATGCTTATAAGATCCTTAATCATTCTGTATATATGAAATACCAAGCTTATATAAGCTGCAGCTGTAATAAACATTTTTAAAATCATAAATTCTATAGTTTTTATTGTGTTGAAATAAATGACTATTCATTCATTTTTTAATGCAGGAAAGGGCTCCAGAATCTGAAAAAAGCAAAAAAGGGAAGTAAAGAAGCAAATTTTGAAAGCTGTGATCTCATAGGTAAATCTATTGTTTATTTAAAAATGGCTTTACACTTAAAGACTGAAAGGAATAGTGGAATAATATTAGACTTGCATGAAATAAATCTTGTATGATTTATGAATAAGGTTATAATGATATTTCAAACGTATTTCATCAGGAATTAAAATTTATTTTTGCTATTAGCATATTTATGAGAAGTTTGAAATTTTTTATATTAGATGTTATATGGAATCATTTACATTTCAAAACAATACTGCTGCATAACTGTTTTTTTACCTGTATTGAATGAAAGTTACTGCATACAAAAAAATCCAATGGTGTAATATTTTGGGCCCATTCATTTAATTTTCTTTTATTAATAGTTATATTTCTGTGACATAATGCTATCAGGCTGCATAACTTTCTCAAATTTCTTTGAAATTTGCAGAAGGCAAAACTATCCATTTATGAACTAATTGTATAAAGTTTATTTTTGAACTGTATTTGCATCTTTCAGTATGTATAACGCGAATGTAGGTGATTTATTTTGGCTTATTTTGAAGCATCTTTTCTTTTAGGTATCCAAATTTTGAATGCATTATAATTAAGATATTTTCTACTAACCACTCTTCCTTATTAATTTATAATTCTTGACATACTGAATAAGTAGGAAAATACACTACTTATTGAACCTTTATGTAAAGTATTAACAGAATCCTGCAGAAATTTTTCATAAATGGAGATTAAATTGCAGTTTCTATGAATATTTTAAATATTTATAATCTCTACAAGCCTGAGTATTGTAAATATGAAAGATGTTGTAAGATAAGCCGTATTTTATACATAAAATGTATATATATTTATGTCAAAATTTATTGCATTTAATTTATATAGGAAAAACTATTAATTTTGTCTGAATTGAAACAATTTTTCTTGTTACATTTCATATCTTTTTGAGGTGTAAGAAATATACTTACATTGGATCTTTCTCCCTGAGATACCAGACCTTTCTTCCATGACTTTTTTAGGAAGGGCATTTAATCCTGACTACTGAAAATTTCCAGTATGTGGGTGTAACCTTCGATAGAAAACATCTCTGGAAGTCGCATATAGAGGATACAATATATCAAGCTTCAAGACTCTCTCTGTTAAAGATTTTAGTGGGAACTGAGTGATGAACCATGAAGAAAAATTGCATGCTGCATTATTTATAGATAGACTTTGATGCTATGAAATTTTCAACAGAAGGACAGTGGACTATCTATCTTGCTTTCTAATCCTTTCCTTTCTTGCAAACCTTGTTATCCCTTTATGTAAAATCAGTGATTATGATGAAATAATCATTGCCATTCACAATGACAAGCTGTGAATAGGTACAAAATACATTATATAACATAGTGAATTTTAATTGGTATGATTTTTTTAAAGGAAACATTAAATAGTGAAGGCATTTTGTATTTTGAAATTATGTTTATAGAGAAATTAATAAAACAGTCATTTCTTATGCAGAGGTCTGAGTGTGTTAAAGTACTACATTGCTCGAAACAATTAGGGGATATTGTGAGTTTGGTATAAAATAACCGTATAATTAACAACTTTTTAACAAAAATGAGACATTTAAACTACTGTGCATTTTAGATAAGGAGTGAAAAGTGCTTGAGGCATTCCTTCTGCAGGAAGCGATTAAACAAGTGTTGAATGTTTCGTAACAGTAAATGCCTCAGCAAGGTGATTTAGCTGAATTGGTAGTCTGGAGGGCCGTCGTTTGTTTAGAGGCAGGTCAAACACAATCCATTGTCACTGAAACATTAGGAGATTCTTTAATGTGTCATTTCCAGGCTTTGAAATCAATTTTTGGAAACTGGAAAATTTCACTGAAGATCAGGACAATATCATACACCTGCAACAAAGCAGAATGAGGGTCAATATTTAACACTGAGTCAGAAGAAACCACACTTTGGACACCATTTTCTTGCAATAGCACCTTCAGAGGGCTACTGATAGAACTTCGACTCAGACTATTTGAAACCTACTAAATGATCAGTAAAAATGATCTCTGGTGCTTTTGTACAAGCAGCTGAATTCTGTGTTCCGAAATCCTCAACAAAGTTCCCTAAACACTGGTGAAACCATGAGTGTCATGAAATGTCAAGAGAGCAAAGGAAAGCTTGGCTTGTCATGAAATTTCAAGAGAACAAAAAGCTTGGCATATATTTCATAGATATCCAACATTGACAAATCTTCTGGCCTTTAAGGAAGCTAAGGCAAATGCAAGAAAAGTGAGGCAGCAAGGTCAGAGAAAATCATTGTCAGCCTATATATCCACTATCACATCTTCAATATCTAGCAAACAAGTTTGGGAAAGGGGGGAAAGCCTGTGGATTATATAATGATTAATTTTTTTCTGCTCTAGAAAAAGATGGAAAGGTGACAAGCACTAGAGAAGAAATAGCTGATACTTCAGGTGAAACATTTGCTATTGTGTCTGGTGGTAGCAATTACTCAAAACATTCTTCTCCTCGAAGATGCGCTTGGAAAGGACTAAAATTGACTTTTCCCATCCTAATGCAAATCTTGTAATAAAAAATCTTACCGTGTTATAATTAAGAAGTGTAACATCTAGTAAAACTTGCCCTGGTCTTGATGGTGTAAGTTATTTGATGATAAAGCATCTGTCCTATGAATCACTAGTGGTCCTTCAGCTCTGTATAATTGGGTATGGAAAGAACAAACTTTTCCAGCTGCTTGGTGCAAAGCTTTTGTAATTCCTATAGCAAAACCTGGTAAGGAACCAAAAAATCCCTCGAATTATCACCCAATTGGGCTCATTAACTGCCTTTGCAAGATCATGGGGAAAAAAAAAATGTCTCTCCTACTATCTGGAGAAGAATCATTGCTTATCGTCAAGCCAAAGTGGCTTCCGCAAGGAAAGATCTTCACTTGGCAATGCCCTTTTCTTAGAAACCACAGTACGCAGTGCATTTGTGAAAAGAGATCATGTGGTTTCATTCTTCTTTGACATGGAATTCTTCATGTCCTTTATAGCACTGGGCTGTGAGGCAATTTACCTACCTTCATTCGAAACTTTCTGAGGGACCGCACATTTAAAGTTAAGAATGGATCTTTGCTATCTCACGTATTTGTACAACAAAGGGGTCGTACTCCAGGGTTCAGTGCTCAGTGTAACCCTTTGCAGCCTGTAAATAAATTCTGTTTTAAGGAGACTTTCCCCCCCCACACACACACACAGTGCATGGTTCCCTGTATGTTGATGATTTGATGATATACTGTCGTCGTCAAGATATGAGATATATTGAGAGACAACTGCAAATTCCTCTTAATAGAATAGTAAGGTGGTCAGCAAAACCTTCTATGCTACTGTATCCGGTCCACAACCGACAAATATTATCAATAAAATTAAATATCCCTTATTGATTGCTTCTCTTTCTTTTCTGGCCTACCAGCGACCGAGTGGTAAAGACACTGAACACTGGTAGTTCGGTCCGAGATTCGAATCCCACGAGTGGGCGTTTTCGTGGTTTTCCCATTAACAAGTCCTCCACGAATGCATCCCTCCCTTTCGGCAGATAGCCCTCATGTGTTTTGCCATAATTAATAATCCAATCCAATCTCTTTCTTTTCTGATATCTTAACAACTGTATATCATGTATCAATCACCAAAATATTTCCTCATTCACAGTTTGTATCCAAAATCATAATATCCCCTAATTGTTTTAAGCAGTGTATTTGGAAGAAATGAGTAAATGTTTTGTGTTAGTATGTTTTCCAAGTATTTTAACCATTCTTGGAAAGTATAGTCAGTCGATTAAATTTTAAATAGATCTGCAGTTTCATATAGAAAAAAGTAACTTTACATTAAATGAATTCATGTATCATAGTTTTTTTTTATTTCCCCCCCCCAGCTTATCTATTTTTTCTTTTCCTTTTACAGGTAAAGTCTGGAAGATATGAAATAATTGTGCACTAAGAGGAGCCGGCTATCATATTTATCACATGTATATTAATTTTATGGGACTATTTTAGTAACATATGCTATATGTATTTACTATTTTTCTGCAGAACCTTTTTATCCTTTTTGGCATTTTATCATGTTCTGTATATTTGATACATTTTTTTAAATTTCAAAATATTTTTGTAACGTATATATACATATTCAAAATTTTTAAATCTTATTTTCACACTAGTGTAAGTACCACTTGGTAGTTAGATCATTCTTACACTTGTATCTAATTTATAATTTTTTAATCCTAGAATGTATTGAATTGCTGTTCATGTGTATCTGAGTGATATTTTGTTATTAATGTCAATAAAAGTTTTTCTTGCATAATTGGTTTTAGTTTGTAACTTTCTTTTACACGGTTAAGAAAAAGAATGTGTCATGTAGATTGCTACTGCAGCTGGACCCTAGTATCTGTACTTTATAGTAAAGAAGTGATAAACAGAAAACATGCAAGCATTAGTTGCCAACTCTTTTGGATTTTCGACATATCTCCCAGTCATCTGATAGATCGCCACATCTCCCGTTTTTATTATTATTATTATTATTATTCTTAGCCTTTACTAATGACAGTGTTTTTCAGCAATAAAATTTGCACAGTTTTTAAGTTTCATTGTTGAATTAGCAGATTTCATTTGATATGAATTGTCTTAGCTGTAGACATTTATAGAATTTTACATGAAGATTCAACTAATGTTTAATCAATAAATATATTTAACTTTGTTTCATGTCAATATGTAGAATCATTAGGTCCATTTTGGAACAGGAAACATGAAAAATATACACTGCCTTCACTGGGGCTCAAAATCCAGACCTTCCTACTGCTAGCTGGACTTGCTTCCAATTACACCATAAAGTTTACAGGGTGTTTGGGACAAAATTGCCAAATCCTGGTAGTGATGAGTTATCGCCTTCTCACATTTCAGTAAGTGCCACAATAAAACAGTTTTTTGATTTTTTAGAGGCAGGAAATGTTAAAAATATACCATGGCCTTGCCGCAATTTGAAGTTCAGATACTAAGTCGGATGCGCTTCCCGTTATAGCGCAAAGGGATTTTGTGAGGAGAAAGTATGGTATATTACTAACTGTATCTGCACAATAGTATATACATTAATCACTAATTTTATTTTTGCTGTATTTAAAAGTACTTTGTTAAATTCAAGCTTTCCTTGCCTACTCAGCATAAAAGTGTAAGAAAATTGAGATGAAATTAGCAAAATAACATAAAATTTAGACTATATAATTAAATACTAATATATTTTTATCAGGTTCATTATAAATAGTTTAATAAATTGAATCATGTTATAAAGAAAATTTAAGTCAATTGAGTTCTTTTAAAATGATTGCCCTGTACAGTACGATCCCACTTTCCAAAATTCCCAGTTTCTGAGGGGTGAATTCTTGTTTTTTCATATTTCAAGGTTTGCATCTATGATCCAAGTCTTAAGTTCTGAAATATACATCAATAACAATGGATTCAACATCGTAAAAAAGCAGTGCAAAAGCCTCAGTTCTATTTTTTCATGTACCTATGCTTGTTTTGAACCAGTGTAAGTTTAAATGGAGGAAAATAAATGGTCATTGAGAAAGCTTATGTATTAATGATGTCTTGAATCTACTATAACAGTGGTCTTATGCCGTTAGGTTCAAGAGGCATGTTTTTCAGTTAACTTTGTAGCTTTATGGCCATTATATTAGTTGGAAATCATTTTAATGTTAAGAAATTGCAGCTGTCAGGTGTTAAAGTATGTGGCTTATATTATTTCTTTTGTTTTACCTTAAAACACAATATTGGTAATAATAGTGCTTGGAAATTACTAGTGAGATATTAGAATTGGAAAAGTAAATGATTGTCATTTTTACCATGCTTTGAAACAGTACTTTTGTTCTTTGTATATGAACTGTATTTTTTTCACATTTCCTATCTGTCTTTTGCTGATTAAAATTCCTCACTTTCATTTCATTTACTATCAAAATTCCTTTTACTTTCATTGGCATGAGAGAGGATGTTCGAGCATGGAGTACAGTATATTACTTTATTCAATTGTATAATATGTAATGCAGCATACAGTATATACTTTATTTAATGTTTTATGGTGATCTAAAATCCCTTTGACAGGTTGACGTATTGAAAGAGGGATGAGAGACCCTCCAGGCTGCACTGTTGTGCCCTGTAATACCATCTGTGGTGTAAATTTAGCAGTTAACAATGCCCAGCGATACTAAGTGTGCTTACATAGATGCACAGGTACCAGTCTTGCTTCAGCCTGTACCTGTAGGTACAGAAGTATCACTTCTATACTTTGCAAACTTGTCTTACCTACTACCATGAAGTTAGGTTTGGACCAAAATAATCTTTGATGATGATCTAGTTCAGTGGTAGAAAGTTTTTAAGAACCAGTTGGCTACCCAAATAAACAATAAAATTATCTTTTAAATAGTGATAAATTAAGACACAATAACACGCCGAATAAATACTGATTCAGAAGTCAAACAACAAAAATCAGCGTTAATTCACAAAATTTTCACAGGACTATTTCGATGGTTTTACCGAACCATCATCTTCAGCTGCAAAACCGCAAATGAACAAGATAGAAATAATGTTAGATAAGAATAGAACCTGGACAAGAATAAGCAAGTGTGCCATCTGTTGGCGAAACCAGAACTAAAACATAATTTCTCTAAAAGCCAAGGCAATTTGGATTGGAATTAGGATCGTTACTAGAACAGAAAGATTTTTTGAATGTGAAATGCCTCGAAAAAGCCAGTTCTCCAATGGAAATGTTTTTTGAATAATTTTGGCAGCAGAAAAATTGAAAGTGTGATTTTCGGACCAACAATGTTGAGCAACAGAGACTTCTGTTTTCCTTTTTTCTAACTAATGCCTCATGTTCTTTGACGCGAATTTTAGGCTCTCTTAGTTTGGCCATGTAAATTAAACCGCACTGGCAAGAATCCTTAAATACCCCAGGAATCATATCCAATGGGTCCTTGAGTATAGAAGTTGGAATTTTATTGATGGGATAACAACCAATTAATTTCTGCAAAATTGTGCAACTTTATAGCTCCTTGATGGAAAGAGGGATGACAACAGATTTTTATAATCTCCTGAAAAATCGATGGTGTCACTAACTCTGAATGAAGACCATATAACCGATCCCTAAAGATCCTTCACCTTCAACTTGTCAAAAATAAAAACTACGCGATCAAATCTTCAAATCATTTCAAGCAACTTAAAACATTCGCTTATTATCCCATCTGTTGCGAATTGTGCCAGATTATATTCGCTCTTCCCAAAATTCATAAAAGTGGTATTCCTTTCCGCCCTATTTGTAATCAAATTTAGGTCTGCCCGTATCCATTAAGCTAAATATTTAGTTTCTAGATTTTCAACTCTATTAGACAATAAGTTTAAACCATAAAAATTCAATAGAGTTTGTAAAAAGGTTAAAACATTTCTCCTCGTAATTTACTCATGGTTTCTTTTGATGTAAATCATTTTATTCACCAAATGTCCCCAGTGGAGGGTGCATTAAGATGTCTAGAAACCAGACTTCGCGAATTTCATTTTCTCTTGCATCGAAATTGATGAGCTAATTTCTCTCACTCAACTCTGTTTGAAACAAACACATTTTGTTTTCCAAAATAAATATTACAAGCAAACTGGGATTAGCCATGGGAAGCCCCCTCAGTCCCATCCTGGCTGATTCTACATGCATTATTATGAATCAAAATTGTTTTGAAACTTTAAACTTCCCGGCATGGTTCCGCTACGTAGACGATACTTTTACCCTGTTTTGAAGGTAATAAAGATGATTTAAATAAGTTCTTTCAACAATGAATTCTATGATCCTGCTATTCAGTTCACTTTTGAACTTGAGACTTGCAATTCTCTTCCGTTTCTCGACATTCTGGTCACATTAACACATCCAACTTCAGTACTACGGTTTACCGTAACCTTCATCGGTTTGCCTTCCACCACACTTTAAATCATGTCATCCGACTAAACAAAAGTTAGCTTCATTTTATTCCTATGTTTTTCCATGCTCTTCAAGTTTGCTCCTCCAAACTAGCCCTTGATGAAGAACTAAATTATTTAAAAGCAATAGCTATTGACAGGGGCTTTTCACCCAACATTATTAATCAAGCAGTTAAAAAAATTCTCATCTCAACACACTAAAAAGCACACTCTTGTTTTCGGAGATTAAAAATTCTGTTGTCATTCCTTCTTCTTTCCATCAAGGCTATAAAGTTGCACATATTTTGCAGAAATTTAACTTTCGGGTTGTTTATTCTCCCATCAATAAAATTCCGAGTTCCATACTCAAGGACCCCATTCGGATATGAATTCCTGGGTATTTATAGGATTCCTTGCCAGTGTGGTTTAATTTACATTGGCCAAACTAAGAGAGCCTTAAAATTTTCGCGTCAAGGAACATGAGGCATATGTTAGAAAAAAGGAAACACAGAAGTCTTCTGTTTGCTCAACATTGTTGGTCCGAAAATCACACTTTCAATTTTTCTGCTGCTGCCAAATTATTCAAAAAACATCTTCCATTGGAGAACTGGATTTTCTAGAGGCATTTCACATTCATAAAATCTTTCTGTTCTAGTTAACGATCCTAATTCCAATCCAAATTTGCCTTCGGCCTTTAGAGAAATTATGTTTTAGTTCTGGTTTCACCAACAGATGGCGCCACTTGCTTATTCTTGTCCAGGCTTTCTTATCTTATCTAAACATTATTTCCTATCTTGTTCATTTGCGGTTTTGCAGCTGAAGATGATGGTTCGGTAAAACCATCGAAACTAGTCCTGTGAAAATTTTGTGAATTAACGCTGATTTTTGTTGTTTGACTTCTGAATTAGTGATAAATTGCTTAAATAATTATTAAATTCAATTTTAACAAAAAGAATTTTTTGTTTAGTTAATTACAAAAAACTTTTTAGGAACAAATTACGACTGATTTTTCACGGGAGTAGTAAATAAATTATATGGCTTATAGAAATGTGGTTGAGATGATGTTTTTAAAGTGTGCCTTTCTCAAGGTAATAAAACATGTTTTGTAATTATAAATTTAAGACTGCACGGCATTCAAGGACTGATAGGCTAAATATAGTAGAGTGTTAATCATCCTACTTATTAAATCCCCCATAATTAAAATAATCTGTTTTCAAATTTGGGGAAAAAAAGCAAAGAAAAAAATGTGACTATTTTAAAGTAAACTATTTATTTGAACCATTATTTTTTAACTCAACAAAAATTATAAAATCTTATTTTATGTCAATAATATATTCCATTTTTCAGCAATAATCAGAGTAAAAAACAGAA